AAAATTTCTAGAAATTTTGTAATTGAATTCAATATGTATGTTGTTAAATAGTTATTTTAATTTTACTTTGAAATGTTTTGTTGAGATATTTTCATTCACACTTTATTTTTTCATAATACTGTTCTGAAAATACCCATTACTACAATAAAAATAAAGTTTAAATCTAGCAAAATTTTTTCTTCTAAAAAGTCCTGTTATACAGAAATATTTTCCCAGAGTAAATAAAAAAACTTCGATTGGGCATTTTTTTAAGGTTTTTCACATAAATATGACATAAAAACTACAACATAAAATATGTATTTTTTATATTAAATTACATTTTCTTAATATTTTATAGCAATCAAACGTAACAGTGTAAAGTTTTATAGAGGAATTTAGAGAGACTCTAAATAATAATAATAATTAAAATTACTTACAGCTATTTCTCGTTGTCCGTATTTTCTCATTTCGGTTTTATTTTTAAAATGCTTGTGACGCTTAAAAATATCTAATGCGAAGACAGAACTAACTGTTTTCTATTATCACGTTCTTATGGTTAAATTCAAAAGGAGTATGTATCAATTCTACTTTGTTTGTCCAGTTATTAGTCTTACTTGGAATTGGTAACATTCATCACCAATATTTGTATTTATTTGGCTATTAATTTTATCTTTGTTTATAATCAAGGATTACTAATCTCAATATCTAATGGTTTTTCTTCATAATCAATTTTCATTCTAATGGAAATAAGCATGCTTCTAAAATCGCTTGTTTTAATTAACAACTTATCAATTAACTATACAAATAACTTACAGAAATGCAGGATTCTGTAAATGCTAGAACTATTTAAGATAATGTCAATCAATACCTATACTTATAAAAATATCGAGTTATTTAGATGAATTTATCGTTTTCAGTTTTTGATGTATTTAATATTTGAATCCCAGAATATTGGTTTAGGTACATCTCATTTTAAAGGCGGATTTCTGAATGAATAATTTCCAAGTTAGAACTTCAAAATGATACAGTTTAATAATATGTGTAATTTTTAAATATTTCATTATTATGTTTTCAGCTTTATGTGGTTGTTAAAATGACAGTATTACCGGGCCTCCCATGTTATTCGATCTTTATTCTATTAAAGCACAATCGTAGAATTGTATTTATTTATTTCATTTTACTTATATTGAGTGTGGTAAGCTGGGTGAGCTTATTGCATGTTGAGGAAAAATTCAATTTTTCTTTGTCCTGATAGTTGGAATTTTCACTCTAGCCTAGGGTTTTGTTATATAGCTGGAAATGCAAACCAGTTGTAGTAACCTATTTTAAGTTAATTTTTATAATTATGTTTCATTAGAAGCAACTATCTTCCCACACCAGGGTGTAATGTACCTTGATGGTATGGTGACACAGGTAATAAATTACGTTTATAAAACAAAATATTACAAAACACATGTCGTAATCGAAGCCATGTAACGTTTTTTCCAAACACTTCATTATAAAGTGCATAGGTTTACGTTTTGTTTATTAAACAATGAACATAGGCCTAGCAATAGAACAGGATGTGTGATAAAATACAATTCTAACAAAATATTAGGCCTAAATATATATACTAGTGTATATTCTTATATATAAACCAATAATAAACAAACATGGACGGCCCCCTTTCTTAAATGTAACTAAATTCCTTTTATATAATAACTTAAGCATGATTTTGGTATATCACAATGGATTCTACAAAAATTCTCACAAGATTCTACGAGCTTTTTAGCCCAGAAAATTAACGAATCATTTCTTGTTTTTGTTTGTAGTTTAAACACATAGCTACACAATGGGCTATCTGTGCTGTGCCTACCACGGGAAGCGAAACCCACTGTGCCACTGTAAACTCTTATTGAACATTACTTATTCAGTCTTATCCAACTTTCACGTGCAAGCTTTCCTTTTTAATTGTAATATATTCTTTGTGTAACAATATGATTTCTTACCTATCTTCTACGAGCTGTGTACTAATAAGAACTGTCACATGCCCGATAAATCCTTATACGTGCTTAATTCATGGAAGAAACGGTCTTAGTTTCTTTTCAGAAGATAGTCGAAGTGTTGAACGAACATCAACAACAAATAGAACTTTGAAATACTCTTTGAAATTCACGGTCGTTTCATATATTCGTAATTACGAACCCAATATAGCTTACGAGATTTATTGATCAAACGTAAGGACAATTTTATTGTATTTCTTTGTATCGTAGTTGTATTTTTTGTTGCTAATATCGCTTCGATGTTTGAAACGATATTTTTGGCAAGAAAGATTTTATCTTTGATACATAGCTTTCTCTGATAAGTAAGTGTGTTACACAATGCTATATTTTCCGCTATGCTGATCCGCGAAATGAGTTTAAACTACGCGCACATCTCACACTTAGATGTGCTAAGAGATATTAGATGCTTGTAGTAATGCTTCAACATAAAATGTCTCGATGGTTTCACGCACAAAGCAGATTAGAACACGGTATCTGAAACGCTCTAGATAAACCCAATTAAGCTTCCCCCTTGACAGATCCAATACATATAAGGATTTTCTCAATAATGCCAATTTATCATAATCTTTCATCTTGCACTCGTGTCTGGTTGAAATAACCACACGAAACGACAGATTAAGCACTGTGTCACGTAAATGTGTGACACACCCAAAAATGAATCTCAACTAGAGTCACGCCACAACACATAATTTAGTACTTACCTTTCTTTTTGTCCTTCTTTGCGCTGACCTAAGGAAAACAAAATAAAATAAAATAAACTTGGTAAAATCTAGTATTAACATATTTAGCCCAGATGTTAGATACCATGAGTAAAACTGTTACTTCTATTTTACTGACGGTAATTTTCATTTACCTTCTATTACAATTGTGTAAATCAGAATTTCTGTTTGAATTTACGACACATTTATGGTCCTAATTTTGAACTACTGACTAGACAGAAGGCAGCTAGTTAGCAGCACCCAACCAAACAAGATAAGTCATCGATTGCCACTCTTATAACACATACAGCTTAAAATGCAAGGATTATTTTGTGGTATCGCACGGATTCGAACCCGGGTCTCCAGCACCGAAATCCATAGTTCTAAGACAAGGCTGAATTATTATTATTATCTTGTTATTTCAATGCAACACAATGGAAACTATAGCTACTTTAAACCCCACAAATGTGAAAGATATATGTTGTTTTTTGCTTGTTGTTAAGCATAATACTGTGGATAACCTGCAACGTGTTCACAGCGGAGATCGAATCCCGAATTTTCA